AAATTAACACAGATATCTATGTTTTCTAGCAATGATTTCACAACCGATTTACTTTTGGTGACCTCTTTTAGATGTTGCATCTGAGGCTTTGTCAATAACTGTGGTGTTTCACCATGTTGACAATCGTTACAGCAACTGAGTTGATTGCGCTTCCACGAGTGATACTGTCTGCAAACTATTGTCCAGATAGTAGGTCATGCCTATAAATAATAGGTATTGCTAAAGCAAACACTAACAACTACCTAAAATCACGCATAAATAAAATAACAAACAGTATTGTTGGAATGACAGAGTCCTGATACGTACACAGAGGTGAACACTGTCAAGACTGTAAACTTGAGCACTCGGAAGTTGGAAAACGTGAGAATTAATGTTCCCTTAGCAACAGTAATTTGCCCCTTTTTTTGCATGTATATTAAGATAACTCTTTAATTATGTATGGTATTGTTCCCTAGTAACCTTGCTCCTCCACTGTGGGGAATGGAGTGTGCTCAAAATTTTGATTTGTAGCAAAGAGAGGAAAAAATTAAACAGTTCAATCGTTCAACTCTTAACTGTGGGCTGGTGTTATCTTCCTGCAGTCCTCTGCCTTTTCACCATACATTTTAAATTCTGCAGGTTCCAGCCCTCTCCACTACCTCACGTTGATTTATTTGTATTTTTTTATATTTTATTGCAAGTATTCATTTCACAATTCCTGCTTGGGAAGGAGAAGGTGCCTGCTCTGCCCTGGAAGATCCATCCTGCCTGGATCTGCCTGCGGGAGGCTCCGTGTTTCCTGCTACTTTTACTTGAATATACAGGGCACGGCAGATGGGAAGGGTCAGTGGTCCACAGGGTGGAGGGTAAAGGGCTTCCCAAAACAGCCCCTAGCCTGTCAGGCTGCCTTATGTTAATACAGTGAACCTGTAGTTTTATTTATGCACATTAAGCGTGCACGCACATGTACTTCTGTACGTTTGTGAGAGGGACAGCTTTACGTCAGCTATGCTTGTTCTCAAAATACTCCTCATTAAAAGCCACTGAATGGTTTTGAGAATGCCCATTAGATTATGCTGTGTTTCAGGCAAGCTACAGCCTTTGCTGCAACTGCACCAAATGCAGCAGCAACGGGTGAGTGCAATTGCATGCCGACTAAAGACATAATATATGCTGACTCATCAGATTTCTTTTTTCCTTTCCCACCCTCCTAAGTTGATTTGGGAAGTTAATTTACAGTGATCTTTTCTCTCCCCCTTAATATATTGTGTAACTTGCAAACTACCTGAGAAATCCATACCAGACTCTGAATCCCGTGCAGCAGTTCCCGTGCTCAAACCTAATGACTTTGGCAATGAGTTGTCACCATTCGGCATTGCACTGTTGAGTGTTAAAGAGCATCAGAGAGCAGGACCACCGGGTCTGCAGGCCATCAGCTCTGCTGCCTTGGTTAATGCTTCTTCTCAAAGCACGACTACTGGTTTTGTTATGTCCAAGTGACTGTAGAGGACAGGTCTTGTCCTTCCAAGTGATCTTAAATAGATTAATTCCTGCTTAGGCATGAAGAATCCAACAGTCCTGGTGCTGGGGGGTTGGTATTGTATCTCTTTAAGCTCCCATCATTGTATTTTGTAAATGTACCACACTCAGAAAATAGCTGCTTTGCTTCAGTAGGGAAGCTGACTTCGCAGAGACCCAAACCTGTTCATTTTGGTCTAACAGCTAACAGTTTTTTCTGTCAAAAATAAAGAACATGCTTGTCCCTTAGCTTTATTCCATTGTAGAAAATCCAAGTAGGATTTAGAATCCTGGTAAAGCTATTGGGTAAAAGCCTGTGTCTTCCAAACAGCAGCTTGCTTTTCCTCTGTACCAAAAATGGTGTCAAGAAAAAACCTTGTTGCTCCTGTTAATGGGGGAACCACGTTTTGGAAGAGCTGCAAACCAGTTGTGATAAAATGCAGGTTGATGCTTTGGTACTCTGGTTTCCCTGTTGCAGCTCATGTCAGAAAAGCAAGAGACGTTTCCCTGTTCTCCGTCTCCAGTCCAACACCGGGTGGTGGTGGCTGTTGTTGCTGAGAGCAGTTACAGGTCCCCAGAGAACGATGTCTTATTTTTCACTAATCTTTGGAATGTGGGGGGTAGGGGAATGGTGCTGGATCGAGTTTGTCTGAAGCAGGTGGGAACGTAAGCCCAGCTGGCTGGGGAGGGAGGACCTCAGGAGATCTGCAGGAGCGGGGATGGGGCTGACCTAAAGCAAAACCATGCAGAGGATATGAGGGCAATGTGTTTTTAAAAGAGCCCAGTTATGGGGGGGGGGAGGGGGGAAGAAAAAGTGGGATGAGCATGGGTTCATACTTGGGCTGTTCCTTCATCTCCAGAATTCATCCCACCCAGCAACATTGACTGGAGAGGTCAGGTGTCCCTTACTACGCTATTATGTTTTAGAGCCCAATTTAGTCCTTAAAGTCGTGTCCGTCCGTTGTGTCGTGTGTCTCTCCCCACCCCCAACTTCCAAAACTTCCATCCCTATCAGGCATATATTAGAATTTTGGGGTATTATGTAGCTCTTTGAGACGAATTAGAATAAGGACATTTTAAAGTTAATTTGGCACATCTGTTTATGATAGTGAAACTGTATTATTAACATAAAATATCAGCTCCCTTTGGTGTTCAAAGTATTTAACTGAAATGAGAGTTAAGCTGTTGTCTAAATCTTATTGCAAAGCACTATGGAAAAAGTTACTCTTTGAATTCAAGAACTTGCAAACCAGGTTTGTGTCACCAAACACTCCTTTGTTTTCCTGCAGTTTTAAAAACAAAAATTGCATTAGATTTTGAAGTCTCATTTCAGAGGTTTTTTTAAATGTTATTTAACGCAACTGTGTTGTATCTTCCTGTCCATGGGGACCTCCTGGGTTATTCTCATGGCAGGACGGGGCCGTGTGGTCCGTCTCTGCCACGTAACCGGATCTTTGCACGTGTGATCTCCTGCGAGGTTGCGTCCTGCAGCATCTCCTCCATTAAGAGTCCATGTCCATCAAAACCAATCCAGCCTCTTGCCAGCTCCATACTAGTGGAGAAAGGTTTGCCAGGACCCACCTGTAGATTAGTTGGACTGTCCTGGCAAGGTGTTCGTTTAGTGTCACTCACAAAAACTATGCCAAAAAAAACCCAACTGAGTTTGTCTTTGATGATTATGTGGCTTTTCATAAATACAGGGGTTTACTCCTGATTTTAATACTTTGATTTTCTGTTTATAGCCCTCATCTTTTGAAACTTTCAACCCTTATAATTATCTTGCATTGTGTATTTATGTTTTAAACTCAAAGGATTTTGGTTTTTTTGTAACTTAGAGGTTGTCCATGTGGACTCATAGCCGGGGGCCCTTAGCGGTGATGATTATATCTGTATGCAGAGCAGTGTTCAAAACCAATGTTGTGTATTAAAAGTAAAAATACAGAGATGGTGATCTGTTGATACTCTTTTATGCCAGCTGGACTGTAGGAAGGCTCAATGCAACTAATCCCAAGAAGGCATCTCCAGGCTAATAAAAGCTCCTATGAATACATCAAAATTGTAGTCATATTTGCAATGTCACATCCTTCTTGCAACCAGAATAGAAAAGTGAGGAGGGAAAGTGTCATGGTCTTGACACCTGGCAGTTGTGATGGCTTATCAGGGCATGAGCAGTTGATATAAAATAAGGGATTTCCAGGTTGTTTTAGCTGGCGTTAGGAGGCTGACCTTGATGTGCAGCTGTTGTATGAGCAGGGAAAAATGCAAAGGTGACAGAAAATTGCGTTGCTGGCACTCATTCAAGTTGCCTGAGCATGGCTTCAGGGAAACTGAGGACTGGAAACGTTTTACCAAGGGAAGAGGAACCAGAAAACCTCTCCGTGGCCGGGGCTGTGGTCCTGCTTTGTGGGGGGTCGGGTAGACTTAAATTTTCGGTCACCTTACCAGTTCTGCTGTTGTGCTCCAATACACAACTTACCTTTCAAGCCAGACTAACAAATGGGACTCACACATAATATGACTTTATCAAGTTGAATTACTTTATGGCATAACAGGCCTGTCCAACAAATAACTCTGGGGATACATAGATATGTATAGATATAAACATAGCAGAGTGCAGCTGCTTTTAGTATAATCAAAAAGTATAAATGCTAAAATTGACTACTGAGGTTTTTAAACAGCTATTTAAGAATTCAGTTATTTCAAAACTATTTTTAAAGATTCTAAAAGCTTCCCCTTCCCCTGCCATAAAGTGTAGTAACTGCTGAAATACATCCTGCATTTTTAAATGCCTGTTTTTGCTTTTTCACAATCTGCACAGCTAGACTTCTTTTTGCTTTCAGCTGGCATAAACCCTGTGTACTCAAGCATCTATATTGATGTGCCTGTCTATTGTTTCTAATCTGGTCAGTTGATCAATGAAGACCAGCATGTAATTAATTGTGTAATATTGTACACAATGTCCCACTCTACATTTATCCAGATGGATTTGTTTCTTGTTAACTATAGCTGCTTTCCTAAACAGTTTCAAGAGGATATAATGGTTTTGTTCTTCCCAGCCTTCCTGTTTTTTAGCTGACAAATAATTTTAAAGGGAAACAATTTCATAGAATATTCTTTTTCTTTTTTTTTTTTCTTTTTTCTGGATCTCTTTCTTCAAACACTTAGTATTTTTTATATTTTGATAACGCAGTCCAAAGTGAAGGAACTAATTGAAGATGCACAATTTGGTTACTATTTCATTCAAATGTCTGTGGGGTCACTAGGAGAAATTAAAAGCCTACTTCTATCCTGAGGACCTCACAGATTTCATTTGCAGTGAGCTGGGGAGAAACTGGAAGGAACAGCAAAGGAGTCAGTCAGCAGTTTGCCCCATTTTCAGTCTGCAACAGGGACTTTTTGTTCTGCTGTGCCTACAAGATAGGTGATGGTACTCAAGGAAAAGTTGCATCTGCCTGACCTGTCCACTATGATGTTCTACTTCTGCTGTTTTGGTTCTCATGCAGATGGAGGGAACGAGGAGCCACCAGACCGAAGACAGGCAAGTGTAGACTCCCGTCAGAGCCGATCTGGGCAAGGTAAACGTTAGTGTTGTTCTGCCTCAGTGACTCGTTTCTCATTTGTTCACCTTTTATATATACATTTTGTGTTTTTCATAAGACTATGTAATCTGACGGAGTTTTGTAACCATTGTTATTATCCACATAGCTACAAATTTACTAATATTCACAAAACAGACTATCTTTGTGTAGTTTGAAGGAGTTCAGACTAACTCATGGCGCAGCACAGGCGTACCTGTGGAGCGTACGGCATCTTCATTTTGCAGACGGAGGGACGGAGCTTTATGCAAGGGCGGTTGTTGGAGCTGGTGGTGTAAGAAGGCTTCAGCGTATACCAGCCCAAATCAACAGGCCGTTCGGTGACCGCTTGCCTTCTCCCCCTGGTTGCAGAGGGGAGAACCCAGCAGGTTCTCAATAACCAGGTTATCCTTCCCCTCCCAAGCCCCACGATGTGATAGAGGGGGGACCTGTGTGTTCCTGACCTGGGGGCCGAACAGCCGTGTGTTACGTCTTTTGCTTCGTTGTGTTTCATCCTACAGGAACAGGGCAAGAGGTCCCAGGAAGACCTAGTAAAAATAGGTTTTATATTATTTAAATAATGATTCTACAACCCTTTTGTTCAGGATCCATCATTCACAATAGGCTTCGTGGTTAAAACCACCGCTAGAGCTGTGTAATGGGGATTTCTGTCACTGACAGCAGCAGCTCTTAGATCTGTGCTGGCTTACGTGTCCTTTGAAGTAGCTTACTTAAAGTTTTAAGCATTTGCTCATTTGTGAGGGTTGTGAAAACACTGGTATTTTCACACAGCTCTTGAGACTAAGAAGCATTTTTTGGAAGCATGGCTCTTGTAGGTGCTATGTGCATTGACTTATTTTCTCTTTGGGATTGCAGCAATAATTTTCCTTTCATTTAGGTTCACGTCTGTTGTTGTCATGGTGTCCTAATGACTTATTATGGAGACATTTTCTCCAGAGCATTGTTCTTTTTTGGCAGTATTCCAGTGTTGCCTGGGCAAAATTATTGCAAGTGATTGAAGCCCGCGATCAGAATTAGGGGGATCGGAATTTAGAGTTAAAACCCTTGAAGCCCTGTGAAATGTCAACAGCTGAAACTGCTCTGTTAACATAGGATCTTTTTATTAGTATTTTAAAATTTATTGTTTAAAATTTTCTTATTTCAAAACAGAAGAGTTAAAATAAAATTAGGAAGGAAGAAGGGAATTTATAACTGCACATACTCCGTGATAGCTCGCATACAAGTAGCCTTTCTGTGCTTCGAGAATACAGAATGAATGGTTGCTCTTTTCCAGACAGTGTTAGCTCAGAGAAAGTTGCTGTTGTGTTACTTCTGCAGGCTGAGCCTTGGCCGCTCTCTCTGCCGTTAGTCCCTGTGATGTCCTTTCATTTGTGTGGGTTTTGTCCGTTGGTTTGTTGTTACAAGATACAGCAGCTCAGATGCAGCTGCTGATGGGAGTTGCCTGCTGGGTTTCCGTACGCTTCTTTCAGACATTGTGTTCGCTCAGGTTACGTTTCAGCCTATTTATTCAGCATCACGGCTGCTGTGGAAAAGTACCAGTTTTGGGCAGAGGACATGGGGCTTTTTTGGCAAATACTTACTTGCCAAAGAATGACCAATCTCTGTTTGCCTCAGTGAGTATGACTCTAGGAATTGCAGTTAGCTAGCAAGAAGTTGCAGCATGAGAGGGCGTAGACGGAGAAACAGGTAAAAAAATACTTCCAACTGCTTGGAGAAACAAGCTTCTGTGCTAAATATTTCCATTTGGATCAATGGATGCAATTGTAGACGCAGGCTTTCTGCAGTGTAGAAGAAGTCTCTTTGCTCTTTAGAAGTATTATATTTAACTTTGCCCTGGTCTGTGTCCGTAAGTTGCTATCTATCTGCACATTTTAACATGTATTTTTCATAATGATGGGTTAAGAGGTTTTATTATGCTCAGATAAACCAGCCAACCGAAATGAGGCAGTCATCCTACTTGTATTTAAACTTCCATGTTGCCGGGTGTGATGCCCAAGTATTGTACCTGTCTGTAAAGCTTTATTATCTTGGAAAACTTGAAGAAATAGTTCATTAGTTCAAATACACACTTTGCAGTAGCATTTTATTTAAATATATTTTATAGACAAACTTGTCAAAGTTCCAGTTCAGCTGTGAATGATCCCTAATTTGAGGGTTTGATAAACCCAGTATTCTTTCTGACTGGAACAAATTTAAAACTGTTTCAATTACCTTGCTTGTGTGTTTGTTTACTCCAGCAAGGATGAGAGAAATTTTGACATCTGTGGAATGAAAATAGTACCTTGTGGATATTTTGTGAGTTCACTGATTTTGTTCTGAAGCATTTGAATTTTAAGAGGGAAAACACTCCTGAAAACTTTGCAAAGATATAATAACTTTTACTTCTATATAAGATACTGCCCCCAATTGCCCTTGGTTTTAGGTAAAGATCGGCCAAAGATACTGGGAACTTACACCATGGTAACCAGTGAAATGCACAGACTTTTACGTCTTATGCAGACCTTAAGTCCCAGACCTCACAGTTCCCTCAAACCCCAAAATCTGGCCTGAGGAAATCTGAACCTTGTTCTTAAGAATCAAAATCAATGATGGCAAATCTTTTTTTTTTGTGTCTGGCGCCAGATGTATTTTGAAAAAACGTCGTAGCTTGTTTCTGTCGAAGCCAATGCCGATTTTGGCACTGATGCCGGTTTGCCTTTCCTGGCACTCGCAGGTGATTATGAATAGGCTTGCAGAGTCAGCAGAGGTGTTCAGCTTGCAGTAACCCTGGAAAAAGCAAGGCCCTCGATCAGCTTACGTCAAGTAAGCTATATATGGAGCCAATAATTGCAATTGGTGATGCACAGCTGGAAGAAGTCAATTTTTTTTGCTGTATTAGCAGCATGCTATCATATTATGCCCTCTTGGAAAAAATATGCCCAACTGCACTAACAGAGCCACTGCATCTTTTGGATGATTAGTAGGAAAAACTTAGAAACAAGATCATCAAAATTGAGATTTTGAGCTCTGCTGAGCAGTAGCACTGTGCTGTGTGGGGGGGGTGTGTGTGTGTGTGCAAGACTTGGGCTTGCTCTCGAGAGCACGTGCGTTTCTCCAACATACCTTGTTTGTCCTGTCTGCCTGATGTGCTGCCTAATGTCCAATGGAAGGAGACCTGAGAAATGGCAGTGTTCCTACCTCTGAAGCTGTGGTCGTTGTGTGTAGCTCAGACGTGTGTCAAGTGGGAGACCCCAGGATGGTGCTCGGCTGGCTGAACGCAGGTGGGTGCAGTGGAGCTGCCTGTTGCCCTCGACTGCCTTTGTAGCCCATGGAGAGGTCATGGATGGAGTCAGTGGAGTGTCCAGGCTGGGATTCTTCTCTTCCTGAACCAGAACCCTAAAACATGTCATTAGATGAATCTTGTCCTAAACTCCCAGCCTTCTAGAAGCTCTTCTAAACAGCTTGCTTCAGTGTAGACACCTCTTTTGTGGACACCAAAATTAGATGAGAGGAACGCATTTTCAGCACACCGAAGTACTGCTGGTGTGCGTGATTGAAGAGGACTGATGAAATGCTTTGGAGATGGGCATAAGCACAGACTTGATGTCTGTAACGAAGCGGTGCTGATGGTAGGTGGGTCACAGTGGCACATGGCAGCTTCACTTGGACGGGTCTTGGGTTGAGAAGCAAGGCTGAGCTGCTGCTCATGTAGAAATGGTAGTAACTGCAGGGAAAAGGTGGTAAGGCAGTAATTCTAGTTTTCTCTGACTATAGCCAAATATTTTTTTTATATATACACACACATATATATATATATTTACGTGTATATCTATATAAAAGGCATGATATTGTCAGCAACAGCATCTTTCAATAAAAAAAAAAAAAAAATACAGTGAACTGTTCCCCCTTAAAGGGATGTACTCCGTTAGAGCATTTCTGTGCACACTTAATTAAAGCAGCATGAAGTGAATAGAAAAACATCAGTGTCTGGCTCATAGTTTGTGGCAATAATGACATTCTCAGATGAATAAAACATATCGAACTGTAGCATACTTACTAGAGCATACTGAAGTTAAAAAAAATATCACCTTTGTAAGGATTAGGTTTTGAATATGTGTTCAGTAAACTACTGCGAATGTGGCAAGTGTTCAGGAAGCAAGTGAGTAAAAGCTGTACCTTGAACTGTCAAAAATAGCGTATGTGTAAAGTGTGTTAGCGTTTGGTTTCTTGTAAAGAATGATACAAAAATGCTGAGATATTCCTGAAAGTTGGCATCAGTAATAGATGGATTTTAGCCACAAATGATGCTGCTACTTAGCACGCTTCAGGAACTTGTCCAACATTTTTGACAGTTCTTTCAGTCTGGGTTTTTCCCCTGATCATAAACAATACGTTGGGTTGTTCGCATTGTTCTTTGGATGTCTGGAATAAAGTTAGTCCGTCGTCACCTCTGGACATTACAATATTTGAGCCATTTACCCTTTTGTCTTCTCCCCACTTCTGTCTGTCTACCCTTCTGTCTAGCAGTTAAATTTGCTCTTTTAAACATGTTCTCGCAAGCCATTGAGAACAGCACAGCTATCCAATGGAAATCAAATAATGAATGCCTCTGTGGGGGAAAAACATCAGTAGGCACTAAAAACTAAAATCCATCTCTTAAAGGTGTATCAAGTGTAGTCTTACATTATCTGTAATGAAATATTAATGCTAACAGTTTTAAGTTGGTTTTGCAGAAGAATTATTAGTTGTCTGTGTTAGGTTGTTAATCTTATTGACTAGAGGTGGGGAACCACGTGTTCTTGACCCAGAGGTTTCCATATTCTGCAGCTAATAGGAGGAACCTTATGGCTCCCAACTCTCATTAATATTTATTGCAACAATTAGCAATATGTGCCTTTATTGTTCTATCTCCACTTGTTGTCGTGTTATTTGGTGTCTTCCATGTGGATCTGTGGTGACATGACCCCCATACAGGCTTTGTGCATCTCTGGGTGCTTCTGTACGTTTGTCAGGGAAGTTTGTTGTTGGAAGTGGTGGCTGCTTTTGGAGGCTTTTGTTGTTCGATTTTGTTTGGGGGTTTTTTTTAGGCTAAAGGTCGTCGTGTTAAAATTTAATTCAACTGGCAGATTTTTTTATTAGAAATCTGCAAGCAAAATGCACAAGAAACTATCAGTAAAAGGATGATTGCTTTGTTTGAATTATATTTAAAACTGGTGACTCTAAGACTCTGAAAGTCAAATTAAAAAAATGAAAATAAATTCCTCGTGCTTATGCTGTTCATGATCTAAAGACGTGTGCTGAGATGCTGTTCCAGAAATACAGTTTCTTCAAGGGAAGTGTCAAGACCGTGCAAGATGAGCAGGAGAAAGCAGCCGTCCCTGCTCCCTGCGGGGCTGAGAGCTGCGTGCAGCGAGGTGGCTCTGCGGCTGGGCTCGCCCGAGCCAGACCGTTCTCTGTCTAGGAATGATGAAAGCGGGAGACTCCCTTGTATTCTAACCAGTCCCTTTTTATTTTTGTATTCCCATCAGGCACCTCCACAGAGAACGACTGTGCTTTTGAACCAGACTACGCTATTCCGCCACTCCCAGTGACCGAAGGTATGCAGCACATTCGGATTATGGAGGGCATGTCCCGCTCCCTTCCATCCTCCCCCTTACTCACACATCAGTCTATCAGTGTTCGGCTCCAACCTGTGAAGAAGTTAACTGGTAAGGACTTTAAATAAAGTTCAGTGGGGCTTTTAAGGTCCGTTGGTGCAAAAATCTGTAAGAAAACGCTTTGAACAAGCTTCTGTGTACAAGTCATCATTTGTTTATTATAGCAGCCACTTGAGTGAAAACCAGGAATGGATTGGATTTCATGCTGACAGAGAAATCTTTCTATTCTGAAAACGATGTTTCTGTTTTACAAATATTCTCTAGTTTTCTGAGAAATTTCTAGCAGACTGTATTTCATTTCCACTTTGTATTGTGGTTTATGCACAGTGGAAGTGTTACAGTAATTTTAAAGAACTTTATGCTAAAATTTTGAATGCCGAGAGGATACATCAGAAAAAATGATAAACTTATACAGCAGAGCGATTTTTTTTTTTTCATAGTTCATGCATATTTTTAAACTGTTTATCTAATCTGCTGGGATTGTGGTTTGAACACCTAGAGGTTTTAAAGTAGTTGGATTTTCAAAAGCACTTGGAGTCTAGCATCCGTGTAAAAGCCTGACATCGTATTTCTACTGGTAACGGTTTTGAGAAACTTGCTTCTTGCCTAAAATCTGACATCCCTCCGTGCCCATCTTTAAAAACGATCAGCCAGTGTACTGTGTTTGTACTGAGAGAAACCTCCAAAGATAATTTTCACCTGATATTATCTGATCTAGTGTAACAAAAGGGAGCTCTGATACACTTTGTACCTTTTGTTTTCCCTGCCCTCTGGTGAAATGAGAAATTGAAAAGGACAGGAGGAAGATTCCTGAATTGTGACAGAGTCACTTTGCAGGATCTCATGGTGGTCTGAGCCTGTCAGTAGCAGTGGAGCTCAAGAGGTGCAAGAGAATCAGGCGGAAGGAGTTTTAAAAGGACATGAAAATAGTTTAAAAGGGAAGTTTCAGTGCCTTACTCAGCTGTCTTCAACATGAGTTTCCCATCACTAAGAACTTCTAAAGTGTGGCTGACGTTCTGCCTTAAAATGTGAAGGCCTAAAACAACTTCTTAGTGGAAATGAGAACAGCTATGTACTTCAGAGGCTGCTTCTTCAGGAGGGCCAGTGATGTGACACTTGGAGGATCTGTGGGGTTTTATGGTTTTGGGGGTTTTTTTGAAACGCTTTCCTTTTTAAGAATATCCTTCAGTTTGCAGTCCTGAGTCAGGGCTGTGCAGCTGGATGTTCGGAGCTCCTTTCTGTTTGTCCTTCAGCATTTTCTTCTCTTTTGCAGAACAGCTAAGAATTATACTTTACCAGAGTAGCTGCTAACACTAGATTTTTAAAAGTTCAGTTTCAACTTCTAGAATCATAAAATTCAGTAGTGGATTACGAAAGTAGTTTCAAAATGCAATCCATTTCAGCTTAGTGTCTCTAAAACCTTGTTATTTTTTATTGTAGTTATCGGTACTTTCCTCCAGTACGAATACGTTGCTTGCAGCACTTCGCGGGGTGGAAATTGTGTGTGTGCTTGGTTTGTTTTCTGGGTTTTGTTTTTCTTTTTTCTTGTCATGCCACACAATAATGGGTAGGTGTGGAATCCACAACCTTCCTGCCACAAAAAGCATAGGTTATGAAAAATGACAAAGATAATTCAAGGCTATTTTTAATTCTCACAGCATGTCTGTACATGTTTAATTTATTGACTAATGTATAGCTAGTTTGTTCCTGCTTTTCCTGAGTTTTCTCCCATGATCCTCACATTTATCCAGTTCCCTCCTCCTTTTAGTTTTTGATTTACTTGTAGTTTTCTTCTTTGTTTTGTGTGGCTTCATTAGTAGAGGCAGGTAATATTAGCCAGTTCCATAGACCTTTTTTCAGTTAGGAAAGGATGAAAAGCATTGTGTTTTACAAATAGTTTAGGCCTTTGTAGTATCTTTATCTTGTTCATTATCCTTCTGTCCCCTTCTTTTGACTATAATCCTTTGTGTTTATATGATCTCCTGTTGGATCTCTGAGTAACGTTATATTCATGTATTTACTTGAACAGTTCATTACTCTTCTCTGAAATACTTGCAGAGGGTTTTTGCTGTACCCCATGGAAAGACCAATTTTTCTTATACCGCTGCAGCTCCATTTCTCTAACAACTTCCAGCTTGCTCAGCAAGCTGCCTTGGTGTAGATCTGCTGGATTTCTGGCTTGTCAACAGACATTAACCTCCTCCCACTTCTCAAATCACAACAGTTCATCCTAGCAGATTAAGCTCCATGTATTCGTAATTATCTTTTTCTGGGTGGAAACAGCTCAGACTCCATTCAGCTCCAAACTTGGAAAGCTTTTGTTGGAGTTGGTGGGGCTGCTGTTTGGAGTGTCCCACTTGTTCCTCAGAAGACCAGATATTGAAATCCCAGCAGTGGCTTTTGCAGGTAGTAATGCAAAGAAAAGGATTGTGATTCATACAGACTTTAGGGGTTTAGGCAGTTTGCTGAAATGTGTGCTCAAACACCGGTGAGGTGGTCTTGTAGAGCTGTGCTGTGGACATTCAGCTGGTGAAAATGCATACGCCTCTGTCGGTCTGGTTTGCAAACTATATGCGATGAAATCTAGACCTGAACAAGATGTGTACAAACCAGGAAGACATCAATAAAATGCTGATAATTGTTATTACACAAAAGTAAGAGAAGAAAAGCATAGGCTCCTGGTTTTGTTTGGAGGTCCATTTTGGGGCCACACACAAGAATCTGTTGGAAATTGATTGGGAAGATGACTACGTCTGTCTTCGACTTGCATTCTTTTCCTTTTCCATCTGTTTTAAATATCCTGTTCCGGCTAGGCTGAATCTGGTATAGCATGAAAACACGTGATAATATTTTGCACGTACATGTCTTGATGACTTCAGTGCAGCTCCTGATATACTTCGAATTCGAAGTGTGTTTCAGTGCGTTGGTGGATTAGCGTGATTTTTAAAATTATTAGTTTAATTTACTGTAGTTATTGTAAAAGGAAGGTGTTTATTTTACATCCTCATGCAGTCATTGTAGGAATTTGTTTGCTTTCATTAAGGTAACCTGTAAAGGAACTGGGAAAGTAGTGCTTTCCGCTCTTTGTTATTCACAGTACTTACCACGTTTCTTCAACTATTCCTTATCATCTGACTCTCTCATTTACTACTGATCTGAGAGATGTAAAAGGCAAAAAAATCCCTCGGCAGCAGAAAGAATGGCTGTTGAATGACTGACCGTTTACTGTATCAGCAAATAAAAAGTTGGGTTTTTTTTCTGGTGGACTTCGAGTGGCTGTTTTTAAAGACCCTCTTCATTTTTATTCATTAGTAAAACAGCATGATCTGTAAAATAAAGAAAATTTGGTTTTAATATTAGATTCGTGAAGACAAGTTCACAGCCTTACGCTACTTTTGGATGTGTTTCTTCCCAATTTTGACCAATATCCCTCTCCGATTTTACAAAAGTCTTGTAAGTGCCATCGTAGCATACTCAAAATCTGGTAGAATTGATAAGCAGCTTGGTTTAAAAAAGCTTCATGTGACTGTGGGAGCTTTCAGATAAAAATAAGCAGCCAGCAGTTTGACAGTAAATGCATGGAGACATTTCACAACGTCTCACTGGCTGTGATGGTTTCCTCTTCTGCTTTGTCTCGTTGTGCTGTCCAGTTGTTAATCCTACACAATAACAGCAGTGATTCCTTTTGGAAAAGGGATGAGGGTGATTCTGGGAAACTGAAGTATTACAAAAAGAGGCTTTTGTCCGTCTGACAGTTGCCACATGGATTTTTCAAAGCGACCTTCAGAGCATAGAAAATTGTTGAGAAATTATCCAATTGTAGGGGCTTTTTCATGCTGTTAGCTTCTTACATACATTTGTGTGTGACTAACCCATTCATGTCATAATTTCCATATCTGCGGAGTAGTTGGACAGCGGAATAGTACTATCTGTTACATAAAAAAACTTTGTTGTCTTGTATGTTTTTTTCTTTTTTACTAAAGATTTAATTCCTAAAACCATTTGCAACAAAACATGACTCCACCAGCTTCTGCATTTATGCTTTCTGGAATTCTTCAGAGATGAAAATTTGAATACAAAAGACTTTTTAGGCTCTTCACAAGATGATTTTCTCACGTTCGAGGGCTAAAGTATCTTGGGTCATTCTGGATCTGCATGCATCCATTCCAGTGTAGTAGGGTAGGTCGTGTCAGCTCTGATGGGGAAAGCAGCTACCGAGATGGCCCTTTTTTATGGGCATCACGGTGTGTCACGCTAATTTGGGGTTTAACTTAGTCCTTGAGAAAGGAAAAGAAACCTGTATGGTGCAGAGAAACTTGCCCAGTAGAAACTGCGATGCTATCTATCTATTTATTTATTCATCTATTTATAATATAATCTTTTAAAGTTCTTAACCTGGCTGATTTGTAAACAAGTCAGCTTTTCATCCACAGAAAAGTTCAAATGTCCACTTTTGCTAAAAAGCAATAGGAACATGTTACACAGTGTGTTAAGTTTCTTTCCAGAGGAACTGAGGTCACTTGCTAGCCTGTTGATATCTGGGTTTTCTATGTATGGAGACTGGGCTGGATTCAGAGGTTGATAAATATTCAGTATGGTTGCAATTTTCACTCTGCTGAATAGTCTGGTGATTAAGAAAAACTAAGGTCATTGTGGCTCTAAAGGGTGAAGTAATAGTAAGCATAAGTAATCAGCTCTCCCTTTCCTGCCTGTATAACCTATTATTTAGCAGTGGCTAAGAACGTATTTTAGATTGGCATGTTCAACCTCCGTTTATGCTGTTTTATAATTTTTTTTTTAATAACAACAGTGGCTTTATTAGCAAATGTAATGTGAAAAATACATAATAAAAAGAAAAAAAACAAAACAACCCGTACCAGCCCAGGATAAGTATGTACAAGACACCATTTTGATTTTTGTCTGGAATAAAATCAGCACTT